ACGAGCACTATCTGTTATAACCCCCAACATTTCCCACTCGCTCAGAGTCACACCCATCCATCGAATATGACCGCAGTCTTAAATGGTCCCAGTTGGTGGCCGATAGTTAATTCGATTGTTTTTTCAGCTATTGGATCGGTTCGTCGCATCAATCGGCTAGTTGTCTCGATCTAACATTGAATGCGGTTTCGCAGTTGCCGCTGGCGTCGTAGTCGTATATGGTTGGGGTGAGCAGCAGTGTTCGAAAACCGCTGATATTCTCATGATATTTCCAGTCCTAACACTCGGACAAGAGGTAGGTCGGTACCATTTCCGGAGCAACCAATTTGCTAAGAATGGTGTTGTAGATTGAACTGATCTGGGTGAGTGATAGAGCTCGAGGAGTTCCACAACAAAAGACAAACAAGAGAATACAATGAATTTACGACAGAGGCAACGCTGGTCTCTCATGACCGTGGCACTGTGCTGTATTTGGTTGTTCGTACCTCATGTTATACTACAGCATGGTTGGCGAGTTGTGCTGACTCCAAGATATTCTAGATTCGCTACATTGGAATACCATATTCTGTGTATGTTTTTGAGGCCAACAAATCTGTGCTATACTAATTATATAACCCATCTCTAAGTATCAGTATCAACGCTCTGCGCATGTCTCATATACATCGTGTTCGATTTTTCTGACCAACGGCACACAGAAAATGTGCCATTAGTTTCGCTGACAGATTCAGCGAGTATTCCGCAACCATCTCATTGATCCCATCCAATGAATACACTCATATCTAGGGGTGAGTCAAATTCTGACCGTTGAACTTGGCTCAACATGACTCAATAGGTGTGAGTCGGAGCGTTTGATCCTACGACGAGAGTGATCACTAATTGGGTGTTTCAGGCACTATTATTTATTACACATCAAATATGACAAATGTAGTCGTGACTGCCATGCTGGGCGGTGAGCTGCAATACCTCACTCGACTGAAACACGATGCAAGTCATCATGATCGCTCGGTCACACGCCATGTATCAGAGATCTAAAATCATGCTTATCTTCCTTGTTATTATCTTCCTGGCTGTTAGCATCGCCTGCGGAATAATCACGGTAATAACACTTAAGCATATTGTAGTAGGTAAGCTTTACTTGTTGACTTGAAGAACACAGCTCATTGGACAAACACCAGAGCTGATAATCTCTGGCTCATATATGTGCGGTATTGAATATGAGGGGGACGTCCAACTTCTGACTGCAATGGTTTGGATGCTCAACACTGTTTTGGAGGTCCTTGCATTGTGTCTTTCAGTCTGGATTGCTGTGAAACACTTCCGTGACCTGCGATGACATGGTCCATCGACAAGATCGACTATCGGGGACTGTTTCAGAGTGCTGATAAAATCTCACGTGCTTTATTTTGCAAGGTGAGCTTAAAATGTGAATGCTGCTATTTTTTCTGCTCAAGTTCCGCACGTGCTAGCTTTGCTGGTGTCTCTTGCCTCCGGCTTGGTTCTCTCTCTCCATTGCTCCTGGTGCGCCGACCTGTCGCCGACGTCTGCTTGCAACCACTACTCACCATTTCTGTAGAATTCATATTCTATAGGAGTCGAGATACTCTATGGTGCTCTTGAAATTCTATTGGGCGTGCAGATGTTTATACTGGGACCGCGCCTCATCCTTAGCGTTCGGGAATATCACGCTAAGCTCATGGCCAACTCCGACGCAGAAACTGGCATGAAGTCGCTTGTCTTCCAGGAGCATGTGCAAATATCAACTAGCAGTACTGTGTAGGGAAATGGTTGCCGAGTGTTCTGCAGGAGGGGAATTTCGGTCGAGGAATTCGTTGTGGTATTTATTTAAGTTATGCTGTTTCAAAGTATATATATTTACAAGCAGTGACCTTCGGTCGTTGCTCTTTGTTCGTATCATGAAGATCTTTCGCTACAAAAGCAGACATTTGTTTTTGCTCTGCTTGAAATGTACCCCAATTCCTCCGCAAATATAATTCTCCGTTGTATACTTCCAAGATCTCCGTCGTTGAGTCCTTAATCTCGGAGATGAATTGCCAGAGGTTGTCGATGATTTGTAGTATGTAGTCGTATCCACTGACATTATTTCCCAAGTGTGAAGACGCGCAGATCAGTCAGCGCTGCACAGCATTGTACTCCTAATTGCTCAAGCGCTCATAGCGCTCACTATCTGTGTGCGCTCCGCAGTCTCCCATTTGTGTCGTTCGTCTATCTCCGTACGTGGCTCTATTCCTTTTTTGCAATCGTGCTCCACCTTTTCCAATGTGTGTCTTCTGATTTCTAATGATATGACCTGTGCTCTGTCAGTGTTTCATGTCACTGAAATCCCGGCCCTTCGTCTATACGCGATGCCCAAGGCACTGAAGACCGCGCTGTGGCTATGTATTCATAGTTCTATCTCCTATTTACATTTAAAATCAACACTGCGCCACGTCATCCAGCACCAGACATAACACCGTGAGCACAACGCAGAGCATCAGAATAAAGTACTCACAGACTGTGTCAGCGTTTCAACAGTAAAACTGCGCGTGCACATAGTATAACGCGGTGGACACAATAGCCCGTGCTGTAATTGACAAAGTGACAGATTCTTGAACCACCGGATTTCATTTTAATCCAGTGGCACTCAACGAACTGATTCGAAATTCCATGAACTAGCCGTTGACGTCGGACGCGTCTAAGTGATTCAGCGTCTCTTATATTGCCCCTGAGCGCCTTCGGCGGCCGTCAATTTCGAATGTTTCAGCTATGGGCGGTGGCATCTACCGCCTCGCAATGGCCCTGTCCCTCTTTGATATGCTTCTAATGACCTAAGTGATTGCAGCGCACAAAGTTATATCCGGTCATTGTCATCACGCGGCTTTTATCAAGGTGCTGTAGAAGGCTTACGGAAACCTAGACTTTTGGGAGTTTCGGTTACAATTCTTTCCGACAGGGTGACGCCTTACGAACTTATAAAGTTGATCGCAGCATGTATTTTGATTATACACCACAGGCCTCATGTGTATCAGAAAAAAACCCAGCCGACGACTATCAAAGAAGAAAGTGGTATCAACCAACACGACGCCGCAAGTTCAACCGTAGGTGTCCTTCAATCCGCGTCACTCACCTATGTGATCTTGACATGCTCCATGCGCACCAGTACCAAACCAAACAACGTCCCCAACGGCCCCATCCCAACGGCCCGAGCCCCAACGGTCCCAACCCCTACCCCAACAATCCCTACCCCCTACCCCAGTCTCTACCCCCAACAACCCCAACCCCTACTCCAGTCCCTACCCAACAACCCCAGTCCCTACGCCAGTCCCTACCCCAACACCCCAGCCCCTACGCCAGTCCCTACCCCAACAACCCCAGCCCCTACGCCAGTCCCTACCCCAACAACCCCAGTCCCTACCCCAACAACCCCAGCCCTTACCCAGTCCCTACCCCAACAACCGCCCCTACCCAAACGACCCTAGCCCCCCTAGCCCCTACCTCAACGACCCCAGCCCCTACCCAAACGACCCTAGCCCCCCCAGCCCCTACCTCAACGATCCCAGCCCCTACCCCAACGGCTACCCCAGCCCCAACAGCCCCAGCCCCTACCTCAGCCCCAACAGTCCCATCCCCATCCCCTGCCCCAGCCCCATGCCCAGCCCTAACAGCCTCAACCCCATCCTTCGAGTTGGATCAGGCATGCGCTACGATATTCGCAAACCCCCGCAGGAAGGGATCGCACCATCTACATGGCAACAAATCAGCCGCGTTCCAGCATTAGATATACCCACGTTCAAGATTCTCATCATCTCGAAGGCATTCCCTTGGTCAATCGTCATCTCTGCGCCTACTGGGTCTGTAGTCACATGCGGCATAATTTTTGAGGAGTTGCATAAACAGCTACAAAGGCACGTCGAAGGCGCGGAGTGGGCAATGGTGGCTGTTGATAACACACGGAAGGAAGCAGTCGAAAAAGCTGCAAAGTCAAGGCAAGAGAAGGACAGGATCAATCGACTGAAGAGAATTGACTGGCTAGGGGATAAATCAATGTTTGAGGGGCTGGAGAGGGACAAAGAATTTGAGAAAAGAGACATTTACCCGGAAGTGTAAGTGTCGCGGAGACATGGGTGGTGAGATTTGGGAGATGGTGATGGTGACATATGTGATAGTATATACCGGAAATTTGGAAAGGGTCCATCCCGTCCGCACCGTCCGCACCGTCCAAAACTGCAGTGATATTAGCACTCGAAGCAGTCAAGCAACGCATTACCGAGCTTGAAAGAACATGGTATATGAGCAGCAGATCATAGATATCATTCCTGACTAACTAAAACTCGCCATCCATAACACACTGATAAACGGATTACGGACATGAAGGAATATTTCGAGGCGAAGCTGGCTGAAACATTGCAGACAGATAAAGAAGAAGATGATGATGACAAGGACGAAGTAGAGCTTAAGATTGTGTTTCTGTAGATTATGGGAAATCTAGTAAGCCAGTGTGCTTACACGAAGACGGTCACACGAAGAGGATGATGATGGAGCACGAATGGAGGCGAGCATTGACCACAATGTTGTTCGTTCGGCATCGTGCTCGTATTCAACGTTGTTGTTGTATGAAGGGTCCAGGACAGTATGATGGTGGATATACACCAGGGGACTTGGCGATTTTCAGGCGCGTTCGAATATTAATCCTTGCATAAACCAAAATCAAGATAGCAGAAAAATATTCGGTAATCAGCTGACTCGTTCAGGAAAATGTACCTCAGCGTCGTGAACAGGACCAGTGGCTGAGCGCTGAGCGGTTGAGGTAGTCACCTGACAAATACAACACGACTCGGTGCTCGGGGACTGGCGCGGTTGACGATTCTCTAATAGACTGACAGTCTATAACTCGTCTAATTTTTCAAGATTTAGTCTAAGTTTGCCATCAGAGGGTTTTCCCGTCAGATGTCCGACTCTGTTTGATGTCGGATAACTAATTTCTTGCACTTTCCAGAGCATGGGTCGGTTCTACGCAGGCGTCACTCGTGCTGCCAGTACAAATCATTCGTGATTGCCTGATCGACAAAGGGAGTATGAAAGCTTCGAATACAACTACAAGGTGAATGGAAAAATACAACAATGAATGCATGTGAACCATAGTGCATGGAGGAACGAAATCTCTACTCTATTCAAATTTCTATAAGCCATGATGACAATGAAAGAACGTGATAATGATAACTGGAAAGGAAAGTTCATGACAGTTTTGAATCCGCGTTTTACTGAGGAGACGCTGACTCGGGGGAAAAATTGACGTTGTTCCCATTCGCCTCAGCGGTATTTTTGGCCTCTTCTGCCTTCGACCCAAGGACGCTAATGATCTCGCTTATCCGCTGCGTGAGCTTTTCAAGCAACGGAGACACGCGCTCTTTGACCTCTCTGCCTACGCGATTGATCTTCTCGGGAACAGGGAGAGAAGAATTCGTGATGGTATCACGCAAGTCCACGACGGTTTTAGAGATGTCAGGATATGTAGCCTGTAGGGTCTGAGGGAGCTGAGCGATCGACTGATGTATTTTCTGCATCTCGGAGAGCAGGTTTTCAGCAACACTGTGAAAAGCAGTTTGAGCGTTATTGATCCCACTGGAGGTAAGAGCAGAGATAGAGTTAGCAGTGTCGGCCCGCGCGTTGACTGAGGGACGATTGGTCAGAATATATGCATATATGCGCTAAAAAAATAGCACTCACACCATGACATGTTGCAACTGTGCTTGCTTAAGGTGCTCTGATGAATAGACGTAGAAATTATCCTTGAGGTGCTTGGAAAGGTTGATCGCGCGTTGATACTGGTATTGAGAGTCGGAAGATGGGGACGAGAGCGACGAACCACCCGATTCATTGGACATATTTCCAGCGATTCTCTCGAAGTAGTCAACGACCGGTGCAAATTTCTGAAAACTCATGTCAATCGTGTAACAGGGGTTATAGGTCACGTGGCTCCAACCTTGTCAATACCTTCTGCAACGTCAACTACAGGGGATTTGACATTCTCAAACGTCTTTCCCGCAGTTCCACGCACGTAGTTGGCCACTTCCTCGGGCTTGGCCTGGAACGGATAAGGATACCTCGACTCAACTGCATCGAGACCCTTGTTGGCGATACCGTCTGCGCGGTCAATGAGTGGGGCAAGACGAATCTGAATAGGTTGCGAGTAGTTATAAGCGGTGTTGGTGATTGCCTGAGCGGCGTGGTATGGAGAGCGGGTGAGCGTGTTTTTCTCAAGGATGGCATTTATTTGTTCAAGTGAAGACGCAATTAAAGGAATAGAAACAACACGATTTAAAACCGTGATTTTAGGGAGTTGATGCTGGGACTGCGCGACTGATGCCATTATTGCGAAGGTAAGTGTGAGGGTAGGCGTGCAAGAAGGGAATGGAAAAGGAATGGAGGCGCAAGGGGTTCATATATACAAACACGAATTGACATGTGATTACACTCATATCGCGTCTGTCACGCTTATCATATCTGTCACACCTCTTTAAGTGCTTCCCCTGGGATTCCCCACCAATCGAGCCTTGTTATGCCATCTGTGAGAAACAGGCGGTCATGATCTGCCACTCTGATGCGTTGTCAATCCATCTATTGCATACGATGATACCTTCGATATCAGGCGAATTTTCTGATTCTTCTTTACCTCTCTAGTAACGCCTTCTTGAATGGGAGCCAGTATACGTGGACTGTTATCGCTTATGGCGGCCGGTCCCTCGTGATTGTACAAGCGAAGGGCTGGAACCTGTGGAAGCACCCCCCATAAGACCTATCGTATGATAATGACGATGACATGACAAGACGCGAAGATCACGCGGTCTTCGATTCAAACCTTCAGGCTAGACTAGCCTAGAGCCCGAGGCCTGTCTCACCCCTGTTTCACCTCGATAGCCACTCCTGCAGAAATGGAGTGGTGAACTCTGCCAAGTTTTCACCACGCAGGAAGTTGGGCCGTCTTCCGTAGTCTTGGTCAATCATTGATCGGACGGCTTGCCCAGCTCACTCGCCAAAACGGTTGAAATTAATGAACCAATAGCTATTACAGATACTTTCTAGCAACAGGAACAATCAAACCACCAACCTGCAGATGCTGCCATCTCGAAACTTTTGTGCGATGTTGAGTGTCAGTGTCGGTCACAGACCAGCAGAGACGATACAGATGATATCAATATTGACGATTACGACATTTACAATCACTACTACACTCGACGACAAGTTACAATATATACCTATAACCTTTGGGAAGGCGCAGTTCACGCTCTTCCGCTTCGGTAGCTTCATTCAATCGCTCAAGATGCCGCTTAAAGACCCAACATAGTATTATAGCTATGCTGGCCAGCGCGACGCAGATGCGGCATGAGTTGTTATATGTCGGACCCCGGCTCGATACCCAGATGTACCTGGTGTCACCGTGTTGTATGTCATCAATAGTGACATGGAGAAGATATGAGAAAGAAACTGACGACGATAGGACGCTTCCCAACATTGCAATGGAGTTGATGGACCCGATCGCAACTGCTCGCTTGGAGCTGGAATGAGCGAATGTGTTACTGATCCACGTTAACAAGACAGCACCCGAGACCTGCGACTGAGCCATGAAAAACCTGATTGGATGATAAAAGAGGCCAGGAAGAGCGGTATACGAAATCTTACTGACAATGAGAGGTAGCGAATGGTGATATTCATCGTAGACATAGCCACAATATATCCTGTAATTAACATCAACAATGCAAAGACCATGTGCCCGAAGCGTTCACGCGTCGCATCAGAATGACTTGAAAATTGTAAGCACTTCTACTTAGGTGTGTGTCAGAATAAGGCCTACCGTGCAACAATAATTGCGGTGATTATGCTCACAAAACATGGTGGCGCACATAGCAGAAGACTGATGGTAGGCGAGTACCCCATTGTGGCCACCAATGTTGGGAAGAACTGGTTAAATGACAGTGATGCACAACAGCAAGCGCTTGCTGTGGCAATCAACCACGCGCTCCAATCTGTGATAATCGACAGGAGATCGGAAAAGCCGCCGGATGAATTAGGTTCAGCGGGACCGTAGCCTCTCAAATCCTCTTCCATCCGCTTTCGAGCAAGAGAAAGCTCCGCGGACGTGAGCCAACGTGCAGGGCTCGAAGGAAAATCAGGAAGTATGAACATCCCGCAAATGCCGACAAAAACTGTCAAATAGCCCTCTACGAAAAACAACCACCTGATAGTAGTCAAAATCCATAAAATTCATTGAAATATATCGTACCAACCTCCAGGCTGCATAGCCGAGAAACCCCTCCATGGTCGCCAGAATTCCAAAGGCAAACAGAGAACCAAAAGCATTGCTAAAACCGACTGCTACCATGAAGAACGCGGTCCTGTACCCAAGCTCTTCTCGCTTATACCTGCATCCATTTAGCAAGCCAGTTTGTTGTATAAACTCGGGGGAAGTACCATCTCGAAAGCAGATATAAAGCACCAGGATAAAATGTAGCCTCTAAAAATCCCACCAGAAAGCGTAAGGAAAGTGCTTGGTAGTAGCTGCAAAGGTGTATATCAGTGTTTCAATCGCGCACAGTTGCACAATACACCAACCTCGTGGATATTCCTTCATTATGAGTTGCCGTCCGTTTTAAATCCGCCACAGTAAACATAGTAAGATAACAAAACACACCAATGAGAGTGGTCAGGAGACCCCATAGCGACATACAGCTCGATAGATATAGCGATGGTTTTGTTATGCGAGTGAGAATCATATTTCTGCCAACCATAGTTCAATGGTCAAAGGGGGTTATAAATTGAAAGCTCAGATTGCTCACGAAGGTGCTTGCGTGAACAAATAACCGATGTATAAACTGCTGATCAACGTATTGAATTGTGTACCCTCCATGCCGAGGTCTTCCTCGAAACCACGAAGCCTTGCAGCGCTGCGGGTGAAGACAGATATTAGCTAGAAACAGATACTCCTTACAGAACGTCTTACGCAGCATTATGTCGATCCATCTTGAGTTCCTCAGAGGCGGAGATGGGCGGGATAACTGACGTTGCGCACCTGATTCAAGATGTAGATAAGAACAAGATACGCTGTTCTGAAGTCTAGCTTTCGCAAAACATTTCTCTCCAACACATTCCTAGAAGTGAACTCTGGGTTGTCATTGGGGTTCAAGGAAGCACCGTAGGCAGAAGGCGTAGAGTTGCCGAACTCTGACGGCAACAGCGACCTACTCTCACTCGGAGATGCCATGAATGCTCGGAGACTAGGACTTTCTTGTAGATATGAAAAACAACAAGCCACTACATAGTACTCGCTGCTAACCTCAATTGGGAGCTTGACCTCGTCTACATACAGCCACCACGTGCTGTGGCACTATGAGCTGCTAAGTTGATCCTCAAAGCATTCTCGATGACCGCGCTACAAGGGATGTCTGAATCTGCATCATCGCTAGCTACGTTGATTGTGGGACCTTCACGTCGTAATACATGACTTTATATTGTTTTTCGCGATGATTAATGCTATTCCTTTGTGTATGGAGGCTTGAACGTAACACTCAGCTACATGCTGTAAACACGCTGGCTTACTAGAGTTCCCATAATCTACATAAATATTACTGTCCGCGATACTGAAGCACAAGCTTTCAGTACTAGTATCACTGCCTTTTGGTGTAACAGTCAAACGGACCACAGTCTTGACTTAGTTACACATGTGCAGAGCTAGCAACCTCGTCTAACAGGTGTGTGACATTTTTAAAAATAACAACAAAGCTATAACGCACCATGACTCGGAGACTCGTTGGTTTTTTGATGGCCCGTATCTCTGGATGCACATTGTTTTTCTGCTGGATTTCAGGCTGAAACGCTTACTTCGATCAATCAGATCTCTAATAGATATCATCCCTCAAGTCTCACTTCGGCGATCTACACGCTTGTGGTATATCAAGCACGAACTTGAATGCGATCGTTGTGCGTCCACCGAGTTCCCTCGCTTTCTCCCATCCTCTAATAGTACGACTCTAGTCTCAAATGATCCCAGTTGGTGGCCACTCATCAATGCGAGTACTATTAGCGGCCGTTTTGCAGGTTCGTGGAGAGTCAGCCACAGGATGATAGTGACTGACGTTCGCTGTCGTTTCGCAGTTGCCGCCTCTGTCGTAGTAATGTACGATTGGGGTGAGTAAGATTAAGTATGAAAAGACCACCGACATCATTATGGTATTCTCGGCGCTTACATTTGGACAAGAGGTAGGTCGATCCGCTACTGGGGCAGCTAACTCACTTAAAATTGTGTTATAGGTTGAAATGATCTAGGTGAGTGGGCTCCCACATCACAAGAACGACGTGAAAATACAACTTGTTCACGGCAGAGGCAACGCTGGTCTTGATGACCTTTCTCTATCTCAGTGTATGTACCTTGTGTTTCAATATTTATGCTTAGAAAGTTTAAGTTTTGTTGACTTCAAAATATTCTAGATGCGCTGTGCTGGAATAGGATATGCTGGGTACGTTTGGATGTTCAAGCCATTGATGTTGCGCTCATTACCCATCTCTCATAATCAGGATGTACATACTGGGTATGTATCCGCATATAGACCCTGTTTCTTTCTTGTGACGGGCGGCATACAGTCAGTGTTCCAACAGTTTCAACGACAGATGCAGTCAGTATTCCGCACCGATGCCTTGCATTCCCGTCCAAACAACTAAACTACTACGCAGGGGTGAGTGAGATCAAACGACTTGTTGGTTCAAAATAACAACTCCCACAGCTGTGATATCTCGAACCTGTGATCCTCCGAAGTTGATAACTAATGTTGCTGGGTTTGTCAAGCCGTATCATAAACAACGCAATGGATTGGACGGGCGACGTTGTAGATGCAACACTGGGCGGTGAGCCATACACCTCCGTGATATCGACTTGACTGAAATATCATGCAAGTCATCATGATCACTCAGTTACATGCTATGTATCAGCAATCCGGAAAGGTTTTGATATTTCTCGTTGTCATCTTTCTGGCCATCAGAATCACCGATGTAGTGATAGACGCAATATTGACGATGCATATTTCAGGGGGTAAGCTTTAGTTATGTATGAAAAGTTCAAGTGCATCAGGCTCATTGACAAATACCAGAGGAATTCATTCTCTCCGGCACCTATCAGTGTGTAAGGATTCCATATTCTCTACATGCCGACCAAGCTTCAAAATGAAGACCAACAAACCACGCGGTCGCAATCGTCCACGTGACTCATTGATGCGAAGAGCGCAACTCTTCGCATCTGAGTTACATTCCTTCATCTCCTTTTTCCATTTTCTTTCATTACTTTACCTTGTGCCCAAACCTCACCATCTCCTTGTTTCACCGAAGTATTTTCACCTCGCCATACGCTTCATGTTCTCGTTCCGGCCTAGTCAAGTATTCGAAAACGTATATATACTGCTCATGTACTCTCCTACCTACAGCGAATCTTAGAGTCAGATCCCCGCTCCAAGCACGACCAAAAAGTCCCTCAGAAAGTCTCTGTCACGGCCGTTTTCCAACTCGTCTCGAAACCATCAAACTCGTCTCCCTTCTGAATCGTTTTTGTTCGCAATTCCCTACCGAACTCACACTTAGCCTTACAAGTGCCTCCCTGGCTATGGGGGAGATGCCCTACTTCTGACTTCCATGACTTGGATACTTACCACTGTATGGGAGGTCCTTGCACTGTATCTCGCGGTCTGGATTGGTGTAAAGCACTTCCTTGAACTGCGACGATACTCGCAGAGAAATATTACCGGGGACTGTTTCACGGTGTTGATGCAAACTCACGTTAGTTACTTTGCAAGGTGAGCTCATCGTATGAAAGCGGTTCTCTTGTTCCGCTGAAGTTTCGCACATGCTAGCCTTTCGGCTGTCTCTTGCTTCCAGACCAGTTTTTTCTCTCCAGCGCTCTCAGCGGTATGCCGATCTGTCACTGACCTCTACATACGACCAAGATTCATCATTTCTATAGGACCCATATTCCATGGACACTCAGTTTTATCTTGGTCCCGAACAGATATTCCAGTTCGTTTAGATGTTTGTGCTGGGATCACGCCTGATCCTCGGTGTTCGAGAATATCACGCTGAGCTCGTGGCCAACTGTGATACAGCAACCGCCATGACTTCAATTTCTTTTCAGGAGCGCGTCCATGTGTCAACCAGCAGTAGTGTGTAGCACAGGACATGCTTGACATGATCGATTTTTGATGGGGGTAGTGTACAGGGAGCGGGAGAACTTGTTTTTATTTATCCCAGGTTTTGTCGTGGTGTTGGTTGCGAAGTAGATTATAGAAGATAACTTTGAGTAGAAATCTCTCCCTGACGCCGAGGCTTGCTGGCACGCAGCCGATCTTAGTAGTGCTGTCAAGTTCGTACCGGCGGGTGGAAGTCTGTACTCTCATTTTGTCACTGGTAGATGGCTATTTCTAGGACCTCGCAGGAAAAGCACTCAACCACTCGCGTAGCGCCTATGCACCCTTTCAATATCCCCGTTCATCCTACCCGCTCCGTACCAAGTTCCTCTGGCAGGACTTTGACTCGTTGATTAGGCCACCTCATTGAGCCCAGGGGGATCTGGTATTGCAGTGCTATCGACCACATTTGAATTGGGATGGCGAGAGCGAATGGCGAGAAACGTGCGGGCGCAGACGGTCCAACTTGGAGTTAATTTTCAAGTATCGTTAGAACATAATGGACGCATCGGGGTGTACAACAAACAAACCAGTTAGATGAATGATTAGACAAAGTTTGCCCAAATCTTGAAGTCGATGAGAACGCGAACACTAGACACTAGTTAGTGAGGTTCTACTCTGGTAGACTAACACAGACGATACAGGTGAGATCAATATTAAAGATTACGACCTCTACGGTCACTACTACACTCTACAAGCTACAATATGTACCTATAACCTTTGGGAAGGCGCAGTTCACGCTCTTCCGCTTCAGAAGCTTCGTTCAATCGCTCAAGATGCCGCCTAAAGACCCAAGACAGTATTATAGCTATGCTGGCCAGCGCGACGCAGATGCGGCACGAGCTGTTATATGTTGGGCCCCAGCTTGATACCCAGATGTATCTGGTGTTGTATGTCATCAATAGTGACATGGAGAAGATATGAGAAAGGAACTGACGGAGCTACAATGCTTCCCAACATTCCAATGGAGTTGATGAACCCGATCGCAGCTGCTCGCTTGGAGCTGGAACGAGCGAATGTGTTACTGATCCACGTTAACAAGATGGTATTTGAGACCTGCGACTGAGGCATAAGAAACCTGGTTGAATGATAAGAGAGGCCAGGAAGAGCAGCATACGAGATCTTACTGACAATGAGAGGTAGCGAATGGTAGTATTCATCGTAGACATAGCCAGAATATATCCCGTAATTAACATCGACAACGCAAAGGTCGCGTGCCCGAAGCGTTCATGCGTCGCATCAGAATGACTTGAAAAATTGTAAGCGCTTCCTCACTTATATATATGTTAAAATATGGCCTACCGTGCAATAATAACTGCAGTGATTGCGCTCGCAATCCACGGTGGTGCACATAGCAAAAGACTAATGGTAGGCGAGTACCCCATTGTGGCCACCAATGTCGGAAAGAACATATTAAAGGACATAGATGTAGTACAGCAACACGATGCCGTACCAACCAACCACGCCCTCCAATCTGTCATCAATGAAAGGACGTCGGAAAAGCCGCCGGACGACGTAGGCTCAGCGACACCATGACCTTCTGAATCCTCCTCCATCCGCTTTCGAGCAAGAGCATGCTCTGCGGGAGTGAGCCAACTCGCAGGGCCAGAAGGATAATTGGGAAGTATGAACATCCCACAGATGCCGACCAAAACTGTTAAATAGCCCTCTATGAAAAACAGCCACCTGAAAGTAGTCAAAATCCATAACACATTGAAATATCTTGTACCAACCTCCAGGCAGCATAGCCGAGAAACCCTTCCATGGTCGCCAGAATTCCAGAGGCAAACAAAGAACCAAAAACATTGCTAACTCCAATTCCTGCAGTGAGGAATGCGGTCCTGTATCCAAGCTCTTCTCGTTTATACCTGCAGCTCATTTAGTGAGCCAGTCCGTTGTGTGAGGTGAACTGCAGGAAGTACCATCTTGAAAGCAAATAGACAGCGCCAGGATAGAAGGTGGCCTCTAAAAATCCCACCAGAAAGCGTAAGGAAAGTGCTTGGTAGTAACTGCAAAGGTGTATATCAGTGTTTCAATCGCGCACAGTTGCACAATACACCAACTTCGTGGATATTCCTTCATTGTGAGTTGCCGTCCATTTTAAGTTCGCCACAACACATATAGTAATATAACAAAACACACCAATGAGAGTGGTCAGGAGACCCCATAGCGACATACAGCTCGATAAATACAGCGATGGTTTCGCTATGCGAGTGAGAATCATATTTCTGCCACCATAGTTCAACGGTCAGAGGGGATTATGAATTGAAAGCTCAAATTGCTCACGAAGGTATTTGCGTGAAAAAATAACCAATGTATAAACTGCTGATCAATGTATTGAACTGCCTACCCTCCATGCCGAGGTCTTCCTCGAAACCACGAAGCCTTGCAGCGCTGCGAGTGAAGACAGATATTAGCTGGAAACAGATATTCCTTGCAGAATGTCTTACACAGCGTTACTTCGATCCATCTTGAGTTCCTCAGAGGCGGAGGCGGATGGGACAACTGACGTTACGCACCTGATTCAAGATGTAGATAAGAACAAGATACGCTGTTCTGAAGTCTAGCTTTTGCAGAACATTTCTCTCCAACACAATTCTAGAGATGGACTCCGGGTTGTCATTGGGGTTCAAGGAAGCACCGTATGCAAACGGCGTAGAGTTGCCGAACTCTGAAGGTAGTAACAGCAACCTATTCTCACTGGGAGAAGACATGAATGTTCAGGGACTCGAACGAGGTAAAAAAAACAAACCAATACACAATAGCCTTGTACTCGCTGCTAGCCTCAATTGGGAGCTCAGCCTCGTTATATCATTACAGCCATCACTCGGCATGATCAAAGATAAGCATGAACACACCTGATGAGAACTCAGCATACCCCAGTTACTCAATATTGGTCATTGTTAACGCCCTGACGATAGACTTGTACAGGCGTGCTGTGGCGTACTGCATGGCCAGCAGTCGAGGCCAGCGTCATAATTAATAAGTCGATTTAGAAGCGGAAGACCTGCAAAGAATGTTACTAGTGCCATGTTACCATTCCAAGGTAGATCGGCTCCCAACAGGGTGGGAAACACAAGTCCCTGGCAAGACCTCAAACACCGCTCAGTAAGCATATTTCCTTGTCATTTTTAAGTTGAAGTTCACCGCCCTCGCGCATAGCTATTCTTCCACCACGTTTGCCCCGCTCCCTTACATGCCCATCGCCGAGCTACAGGTCGATATCGACACCCCTAAACTTCAGTCCCCACGGTGCTACCAGTTCTGACGCCGCCAACAGAAATCGCCGCCGCTCCAAGTCTCATGAGAATAGCTGGTATATGATATATCTTAGTATTGACAGATGAATGAACGCAAATTTCACGAAACACACCATGAACTAATTTTTTTGCGCCCGGATCAGCCGGTGGATAACTGACCCCCAATTTCGCCAGGGTGGATATCAACAGCCCAGAAGCCTGGAGGTTATCCACGATACACTAGTCGAGCGCATTTCTTGGGGTAGCAGCGCTTCCCCATACACCACTTTGGCTTCCTCATACTCATGAACTCCCACCCTCTCCTTCACAGTATATTATATCTTGATATTTTAACCATGAACCAAGTTAGTGGTAGCTGGCGAGCAGAGGACAACAAGCGCGAAAGGGATTCCAGCACTGCATCTTAAAGCGGACGTGCCGTAGCCCAGGTCTTGATGCGCTGTTTCGAATAAAAACAACCGGTGACGACGGCATAGCTAGGAAGCAGCGGGAGCGGGTTTGGTGTCAAGATTTCAAGCAGGATGCAGATAGATCGTCAGCGGCATTCACATGCACTAGGGTTGGAAAAAAAAGACCACAAGGCTTGAGCTCGACGAGTGGGACAATGAAACTGACATGTAACATTGTAAGCAGGACAATAAAGACGACAATACATAAGAAAGATTCGTACCTTTCTCCGACGCAGTTTACGGGGTCCAATCTTTACTAAATAACGTCAGTCGGAAGGTAATATGGTTTCTGAAACATCGAGCCGAATGCTAACGGGTCACACATCACCCCATGTTCGGGTCATTTCCTTCGTCTATAAACTTCAAAGGTCTGTCTAGGGAAGACTACTTATATCGACAGATGCCATACACTATGTGGGCGCTCAAGTTGGACACTGAAGGCGGAAGTTCACGAAGTGGAACCGATCATTTGATTACTCTCAACCTCGTAAACGCTGTACTGTAACTCTACTCGACTGCATCATTTCACGTCGTTTAACACTACAGCAGGTATCTATAACCTTTAGTAAGATTCAGCTCGCGCTCTTCCTCACCAGCAGCTTTATTCAATCGCTTAAGATGCCGCCTAAACACCCAGCTCAATGAGATGCATGAGCTAGCTAGAACGATGCAAATGAGGTATGACTTTGTATATGTCGGGCCCCAGCTGGATGGCCAGATGTAACTGGTGTTGTATGACATGTCATTAATGCTGACACACGAGAGATACTAGAAAGGGACTGACGGGGCTAAAGTGTTCCCTGATGTTCCAATGCAGTTCATGAACCCGATTGCAATTGCTCGCTTAGAGCTGGAACGAGCGAACGTGTTACTGATCCACGTTAGTAAGATGACATTTGAGACCTGCGCCTGAGCCATGAAAAAACTGGTTTGAATAATAAGAGAAGGCGAGATGAGCGATACACGAAAGATGACTGACAGTGAGATGTAGCGAACGGTGATATTCATCGTGGACATAGCCAGAACATATCCAGTGATCAGCATCAATAAAGCAAAGACCATATGCCCAAAGCGTTCACGCGTCGCGTCAGAGTGACTTGAAAAGCATAAGTCTTCACTGAGGGGTAAGTTGAAATTTCAGTAGGGCCTACCGCGCGACAGTGACTGCGGTAATTGTGCTCATGATCCATGGCGGTGTGCACAGTAGGAGACTGATGGTAGGCGAATACCCCATTGTGGCCGCCAAGGTCGGAAAGAACATATTAAAGGACAGAGATGCATTACAGCAAGACAATGCCGTGCCAACCAACCACGCTCTCCAATCTGTCATCAATGAGAGGACGTCGGAAAAGCCGCCGGACGACGTAGGCTCAGCGACACCATGACCTTCTGAATCCTCCTCCATCCGCTTTCGAGCAAGAGCATGCTCTGCGGGAGTGAGCCAACTCGCAGGGCCAGAAGGATAATTGGGAAGTATGAACATCCCACAGATGCCGACCAAAACTGTCAAATAACCCTCTATGAAAAACAGCCACCTGAAAGTAGTGAAAATTCGTGCCAAACATTTTCTGGGAAAATGTTTGTTTCATACCTCCAGGCCGCATAACCGAGAAACCCCTCCATAGTTGCCAGAATTCCAGAGGCTAGCAGCGAACCAAAAGCATTGCTAACTCCAATTCCTGCAGTGAAGAACGCGGTCCTGTACCCAAGCTCTTCTCGTTTATACCTGTAGCTCGTTTAGCATGCCTGTCTGTCGTGTGAAGTGAACTGCGGGAAGTACCATCTTGAAAGTAGATAGACAGCGCCAGGATAGAAGGTGGCCTCTAAAAATCCTACCAGAAAGCGTGAATAAAGTGCTTGGTAGTAGCTATAATGATGTATATCAGCGTTTCAATCGTGCACCGTTGTTCAATACACCAACTTCGTGGATATTCCTTCATTATGAGTTGCCGTCCATTTTAAGTTCGCCACAACACACATAGTAATACAACAAAACACACCAATGAGAGTGGTCAGGAGACCCCATAGCGACATACAGCTCGATAGATACAGCGATGGTCTCGCTATGCGAGTGAGAATCAGGTTTCTGCCACCACGGTTTAACTTTCAGAGGGAAGTATTGAAAACTCAAATTGCTCACGATGGTGTTTGCATGAATACATAGCCGATGTATAGGCTGCTGATCAACGTATTGAACTGTGTACCTTTCATGCCGAGGTCTTCCTCAAAACCACGAAGCCTTGCGGCGCTGCAGGTAAAAACGGATATCAGCAAGAAACATAAATACTCCTTGCAGAACGTCTTACGCAGCGTTATTTCGATCCATCTGACAGTTGTAGTAATTATTACGGAGGTGGAGAACGGGCGAGACAAGTTACTGATGCCTTACGCACCTGGTTTAAGATGTAAATAAGAACAAGATACGCTGTTCTGAAATCTAGCTTTCGTAGAAGATTTCGCTCTACAACTTTCCTAGAAATGCACTCAGGGTCGTCATTGCTACTCGGGGATGTGCCGTAGACAGACTGTGCAGATTCGCCGACCTCTAAATGCAGCAGCGAGCTACTTTCACTGGGAGAGGACATGGATGTTCAGAGGCTCGCAGCCTCGTGTAGCGATGGCACAAGGACAAGCTACTAGCGATATTTCTCATTTGCCTCCAACTCTGAAAGTTTCATTTTTAGCTAGCATTGCCCCGAGATAAGCCTGAGTAAGCCAGGTTTGTACACACGCCCGGTGAGAATGACGCATTGCATTGTAGTTTCTCGTTGATATTGGCCGTTGCTGACGATGTACTTGCAAGTAAGGGTGGGATGTTCGATCGGAGGTAACACTGAAAAGCGAGTTGTAGTACGGTTAGGCATATGGTCGTATTAATAATAATATGGTTGTAATATTCGGTTATCAGTAAAATTTCGACTTATCAACGTAATCCACCCCTCTCAGCTGATGCCCATGCGGATTCGTACATGCCGTTCTCCGCGAGTTCCGCTTCACACTTGGAAAATTGACGGTGCCAGTTCAGTTCGGCTTTGCAGTCCTGGTATCGGCAGCCACAATGTTTTTCACGGCAACTGCTCGGGCAACGTGCTCGCCTCGCTGCCGCTTATCGTACCTAATCTTTGGACTGCAAATCCTGGACTGCAAACCTCACTGCCCAAAGGACCGTCAATCTTTCACACGAAGCAATTCGCGTCGACGTCATGCGTGCACTCCATTTGAGCTCTTTTGGTACTAGTACTAGCGTTATTGCTCGCCTATAATACACGCAAGAGATGGCTCATCTGATCTTGTATCCATGATACGTGCTGATAAGTGACACCTGACATGCTGAAGTCAATCGCCAACTGCACTAGCCTAGCAATATTGCGGCGCACACAGATATCAACTATCCACAAGAATGGGGTCAGGTTAGCCACGTTGCACTCTACGTCCGCAATCCAAAAAGAGGGTTTGGGAGATTTTGCATTAACAGACCGAGTTGCGATTGTCACCGGAGGCAACCGTGGTCTTGGACTCGAGGCCGCACTGGCGCTCTCTGCGGCCGGTTCGCGTGCAGTATATTGTTTAGATCTCCCGGAAAAGCCAGGTGAAGATTGGAACATCGCTCGCCTCAGCGTAGCAAAACTTGGGGGTGCAGGAAGACTTGAATATGTGACTACTGACGTTCGCGATCAGAAAAGGTTGCTTAAAACGGTAGAAGAAATTGCAACAAAGGAGGGGAGGATGGATATATGCGTCGCAGCAGCAGGCATTTCTGGAGTCGCGCGGCCTTGCTTGGAGTATACAGAAGAAGAGCTTGAAGAGGTGTGTCGACGTTTTGTATTTGATCACAAGACAATAGCCTAACTCCGTGAGAGGTTTATGCTGTAAACATCAAAGGAATGTTCTTTAGTGCCCAGGCTGCTGCAAGGCAAATGTCTCGGTTCCAGATACCAGGAAGCATTATCCTCCTGGCCTCCATCGCTGGTAGTGTTGTTCTGAAAGTAACTATAATTCAGCCCTTCTCGCTTACATGCCCTTGACTACATTCGCAGCACACGCCAATTCTTCCATACAATACCAGCAAAGCTGCAGTGATACAGATGGCCCGCGTCATGGCATGTGAACTTGCACATAAGAACATCAGGGTGAACTCGCTGTCACCAGGTGTTATTGAGACACCGTACGATCTATGTTCTGTTCCAAAATGCTCTGACGCATAAGTTTGCAGCATGACGGCAGCAGCATTTTCTGCGAAACCGGAATTCCGAGCTATATGGTCAGAGCAAAGCTTCATGAATAGACTTGGCAAGCCTCACGAACTGCGTGGAATTATGACGTGGCTGGCATCCGACGCATCGAGCTTTTGTACGGGAAGCAAGTGCGTAGAATCTTTGGTTCGAGATGTGAACATTGATGCAAATATTTCCTAGTATCGTTGTCGACGGTGGATATACCGCATGGTAGAGTCGTTTTGAGCCCTGGTATTTGTACATCGACAGAATTTGCGCGGAGTCGTCTAAACTACGAAAGTACATGTCAAGTACTATCTTATCTTCTAGGTTTCTCCGCATCGGTTTAAGTGTGGAGTTGATCTACGTTGTCTTGAACCTTGAGCTTGTGCTTGATTCAACGTTTGAACCTCTAGACTCGCATATCTATAATTTCACCAACTCTCGTCTCTTTTGCAACACCCATGCTAGCTTTTCTGATCTGATGTCAGAAGTGGTTTGTAGACCTTGTTACTATATAACTGCGCAGCCGTTGGTCACGACACCAAGTGTGCATTGATCCTGCCATCAGAGATGAAGGAGATACTCGGATATTACTGTATCATGTATTATATACACCTTCAACGGACAAGGGCCTAAGGGAAGCAGCACCTTCATCAAAGTTGGATCTATTCCAAACAGTTACACTGACTCCGAATCTTGGACATCAAGCAAGTTCAAACGGTATACACCTCTTACATATATCTTATTCCACGACGTCCAATGCTTCCATTAAAATTCTTCGCTGTATATATAATAGCTTGCGGGTGGTAAGCGAGCTCAAAATATCCTATGTCATAAACAGTAAGCCAGAAACTGAAGAGGAAGGGAACAAACGAAGACAAATATCAGCGTTATCTAACGTCTATCTCTTCTCCATTGCTCACACGAGGGCGTACGTCAGCAACTTCGCTCCGTTGCTGGTCCTGCAGATGTAGCGCGAATTTTTCTGCAAGGCCATCCTTCTCATTAAAGCTCTCGGGTTCTCCATCTCCATCCTCACCATCATCCGCCTCTTCTATAATGGCGCCTTGTTCTCGGAACACGAGGTAGGAGTCCTCAAACACCTGCAAAACACGATCAGGATGAGCGAGGCTTTATAAGGAGCGAAGACTCTGACCTTGGAGTTTTGTGCAGCACAGATTGCCTTGATTATCTGACTCTCATGCTTGGCGTGGAGTGTACGTCGGAATGAGTGAGTCAGGAAAGGAGAAAGAGAGCTGAGTGGCCAGTCTGGCGGTACGAGGGGAATGACCTGTAAATGTTATGAGACATCGTAACGGCCAGGTAGTGCACATGGAGTTCGTGTATGTGAGAAGGAATGCACTCACGTCAACAGCATCTAAACTCGCGGCCTGTGAGCTCAGTAGTCTTGTGGTTTGCTGGGGCTCCCTGCGAAACAATCATGTGCCAAGACTAGGACTCGTGGGGTTATAAACGTACCCGTCTTCCATGTAAACTTCTAAAAGCATTCTCACCAACTCTCCCTTCCCTTCCGAACTCTTCTCCCTCTCCAGGATTCCAGGACCACCCTTAGCTGCGAACAGCGCACCCCATTCACCCATTCCGCAAGCTTCGACAGCTTTTGAAGGAACGACAATGCCCCCCGTCCGAGCGTATGTCTCTGCCGAGATGGGATCTCGTAGCGTGAGGGCCAGTGCGCGGAGGGCCATCCTATGCATGCCCATCTAGAAAGTAACTGAGAAGACAGTAAATATTGTACGCCAAAAATACTGACCTTGCCGTCAAGCAACGCCACTTCCAAGCCAAGGACTTTGTCGAAGCCGCTAACAACAATTTGTGACTTGACCATTTCAGCGTTATATCCCGACAAAGCCTGCAGAGCAAACAAGGCTTTAAGCCGTGCGCGTTTCGATGGAGAGTCGGGTGTTGTCGATACAAAATAGGTGAGGAAGGATGATTGTGGACGTTGAAACTGCGTGGATGGAGGAGAGAGCGCTTGTTTTTGTGAAGATTGCGAGGTGTAAGAAGCAACTATTATTTGTGCACTGGGTTGAAAATTTGAGCGACTAGTGTGAAATTTAACACACATTTGGCACGCCAGAGCTTCAGAGTGCTTTCGTCTTGCAGGCACTCGAGCAGCTCGTCGACACATGCTTGCACGAGCTGTGCATGGAGTTCCGCGTCCTTTCGAAAAGATCCACAGTAAGCTTCGGTAATGAATGTGAAGGCACAATGAAATGCGCAACATACATCTCGCCCCCTCACGATGACTAGCCACTCTAAGAATTTCCTTGCTGCACTGGGATGTAGCCGTTGCAACTCGGAAAGAACGCTGAGATCCTCCTCTCGGCCTTTTTCTTTTGCGGATCTCTTGGTCGACATGAGAAGCTACACCATAACGCGATCAGTTGTGCATAGCTACTGCTGCTGTCTCATGCTTACCATAAGCCCTCGCTCTGAATCTTGTCCTGTTAGCCATACTCCCCACTTTTGAAGCATTGCCCTGTCTTTTCCCTGTTTTGATTCTAGCAAGGCAAACATATTACCCAGGGGGTCCGACACGGAAGAATCACTATATCGTCCCTCAACCAACCTGAAGTGAGCATTAGCATTGTCAATCTCTGAATAATGAAAGGCAAGGTCAAAGAAGCACACACCCCTTCCCAATCTCCATCAATCGTCCTTCGTCACCTCTGACCCTGAGTAACGCACATAGAGCACCTATTTCTCCGGCTTCGAGGAGTACAGGTTCCACAGCTGAAAGGCTAGCAGAATTCGTGCTTTCAAGGTGAGAAATGAGAGACGTAGTGTCACCCGATCGCGCGAATAATATGGCGAGGGCTGTATCCGTCACCTGGAAATTCCTTTAGAATCATGTAACTCATACATAAAATCGCACAATAACCTCCTGCTGCCTGTGAGGCCTGTAATGTCCTTGTCCTTTGAAGCCTTGGAGAACAGACTTGATCATCACTACGGCGTCTTCCCGAAGAATCTTGTGGATCTCCTTGGCGGCAGGTGCCTCACGAGTGGAGGGCGGGAGATGAGGGGAGTAATTCCTGACTAAGTTTGCGGCAACTGTCAGTTCCGCCCAGACGGGGGAGAGGGGTGGGTGAGTCGGGTGCCGGGGTGTCGGAAAGAGGTAGCGGCGCATGGTCGAGAAGAGAAGGATGGGAAGGGGAATTTGATAGATTTAAATACTCACTGAGATCATCAACGCTTGCCTCTATGGGCATTCGCTTTGCGATACCGTCGTACATGTCCGCTTCTTCACCATCAGTGAACAATGGCCGTGATAACTCAGGGAAGTAGGATACAAGGATACGGGGATCGAGTGCGCCTGCGAGAAAGTGTGGGGCTGCATCCACGAAACGTGTTTGAGAGAAAAGAGTAAACGCAATAGTTTGGTGTATGTATTCCAGTGTTTCCACCTTTTGGACTGGTCAATATTCATCTGACAAGTAGATGAAGCAATAGCACCTCGTCAGAATCTAATGCCTGACCAGATGCGAAGTTATTTGCGAGGTCGGCGGCATCCTCGATTTGGTTGTTTTCGAGCAGTGCTTCAACTTGAGCAATGACAGTCGATTGAACCAGCGAATGAATAGTATCCTGTCCGTAAACCAAAATGGAAGAACGAGGGAAAGAACTATGGCGCATCCTGACAGACTTGCCAGTGCGTCCAAATACGAGCTTTCGGTTCCTCAGTTTCAGAAGGATGCAAAAAAGTTAATAGTCGAGTGCGGTCGATATCCAAGATGAAGCCGTCCTGGCAAGCTTATGGTTAGAATTACTTGTTGCTACTTAGAACGTAATATACTATTAAGCTGTAGCGTAATTGATTAGTAAGCACCTCACCATCTTCGGTGGATGAGGGCAAACTTGGGGCAAACCTAAGTATCCATGACGTCGAGTCCCGACAGTAGGCTCGCTGCCATGCTCGACGAAGGCACAATGAACTGGGATGCTCTACGAGCTCAGAGCCTTCGTCCTGGTGGATTCGGAAAGGAAAGAACACGTGTCTGGTGCGCGGACTCGCTGCAAAGTTTCGCCGCGAGCTGCTTAACTTATCATATACTCACAGGCCTGCCCTTCTTGGAGTCTGCGTTCCGTCAGAACCTCCTCCGTATGTAGAAATCTCTCCGGAACCTTCTACAAACGACCCGCCCCATCCTGACGAACGTCAAGTACGTTTGGATACCGACCGGAGTTTTGTGATGTATCCCGTAGGCAATGTATCTCATGACCGCTTTTCTACGAGTGTTCGAACATGTTACAGGCAGACGACGACGACGACGAAAGTCGCCGAACTGTATTGCAGACTTCTCTCAACAGTTTAATCGTTTCCCTCCTCCGAAAGCGTCGGAAGTTGCACTATTTCCAAGGATACCACGACATCGTCACTGTTGTTTTACTAACTCTTCCACCAGAGCTTCAGCTCCCTTGTGTAGAAAAACTTTCCCTCCATCGAGTGAGGGACTCTATGGGACCCACGTTAGAGCCTGTATTGGGACTTCTCCGGATCACGCGTAATCTTCTGCGTATTATCGACCCTAAATATGCAATGCTGCTTGAGAGGTACCTTAACGCATTTCGTGCCCTGTCACGTTTCGTTCATTAATGCATTATACATTGCTCCATAGCATTGCACCCCTACCGTTCCATGCCCTATCAAACCTTCTCACCCTCTTTTCACATGAGGTACCCACCCTACCCCTTATTCAGCATGTCTGGGATTTTCTACTCTGCCGAGAACCTTTGGCAGTGGTATGGCTAGCCGTCGCTGTAAGTGCTCCTTCCTACGACCACTGCTGTGATATCATTCCATGGCAAATATCGTTATGCAATTCCATCATTGACCTATAAATCGTGCAGGTCATTCTCGTTCGAAAACCTGATGTTCTTCAATTAGCAGTAGAAAACGAGGACGGCATGATACACTCAGTTTTGAGTGCTCTGCCTTCACTCAGCGATGATCCCGAAACAGCAGATGACGTTCCCTCCGATCAGCATACTCGATCAGGATCCCTAGATGAGGGAGACAGCGTTACCTTCAACACGGAGGAGGCGGAGCGGCTCTCAGATGTACCCGACGAAAACACAAGCAACGGACTTTCTACAGGACAACGTCAAATGATCGAACAGAAACCAGTCCCCTGTCTGACAGAGAATGGAGCGTCCAAAAATATCATCGATGGTCAAGTCGTACGTGGAGAGAGCAATATGACTGTTGATGCTAGCCACTCTGCTGAGGATTGGGCCATCCAACGATCGGATGATTCACACTCCGCGTTATTCTCAGCTCAGCCTCTAGAAACCGAGAGATGTTCGGCCATAATTTCTTCAGAGACTCTCATCGATGACACTGCCAAAATTAATACTGATAGTGACTTTGTTCAGCCCTCACAGCCACAACTGGTCCCACCCCACCCGCTGTTCCTTTCTAGGCCGACATCCCCTACGTCGCCACGTATATCGCGTTCTAGCTCCCGCACTGCCTCCCGTTCACCCTCATCACCTCCTCAAAATCTCCGCCGGCCTCCAATCTCACTTCCGTCCCTTCTAACACACGCCGCACAGCTCCTTGAGGCTTATCCTCCCACCCTTCCCGAGCTACGCGTTAAGGATATACTTGGGCCCAAGAGCGTTGTGCACACGTGGAAACCTCCCCAAGATGGTTTCTCCACACAATGCGGCAATGAACTTGATGACGACGCAGAGAGCTGGGTTGGGAGCCCTGATGTCGTTGTCCCGTTTACAGAAGATGAGGATATTGAGAGCGAAAATGAGCGAAAGACGAAGTTACGCACAGGCCCCGTGATAAGGCACCGGAGACTCGTTCTCCTTCATCGCCTACGTCTTCGGCTCGGACTGCTCACTCCTACGGAGAAACGAATACTTCTGTTAGGTGCAGTAGCGGCAGTTGGCCTTGCCGTTGCCCTTCGGCAGAACAGGGGCTTTTCGGACACGAGGATAGGGTGGATAACATGTGCATGGGCATGGGCATTCGGCGGAATTCGGTTTAGAACTGTGGAATGAACTACACCATAAGTAAGTGCCACTTCAACTCTAATCAGTCTTCCTAAGAGTATCTGTGCATCGTATCACATAATCACTGAACAACTTGGCATTTTTCATGGAACACTTACATAGTCTTCAGATGTCAGAAACCTTGATCACATGCGCATCATTCCGATTGACTCGCGCGAGAAAATTTTATTTTGGATAGATTTCACGATTACGGACAAGTTTTACTGTTGATGATACTGCAACAGCTCAGGATTCCATTTCGATTGTAGCGTTGTAATTGTGATCACGAGGTGATATCTAGGGATCATCAGAACGTTGACAATATATCTAATCATTAATGTCATCTTTCAGCTATGCCACTTACCGAGTATGGATAAAACAATATCGAGTGAATTCGATTTCCTGCACTGCCTGCTCTATAAGGTCTACTGATCCGTGGCACGAGACGATCGGGTCAGTGTTTGTAGCTAAGCTTTGAATACTAGGAATCTAAAAAAATCATGCGACTCTGCACACTCGTATCCTAGGGGATGATTTAATTGTCGATGCCGCAGTAACTGTCGTCGACTTGCCGTTGATGGCGGTATGATTGATCTATGCAGTTGAAACCACAGTGAACACATAGTCAGGAAGTGTGTTTAGAAACAGCTGCGTTATCAGAATATATTTAATATTATATAAAGCATTGCCGTTGCGCAGTTCATCATTTGGGATCTTTTATATAGGGAAATACATTGTGGGGCCATCGTTTATCTTGTCCTTCGAAAACAGGTTATGTGAGGTACCTTGGAAGCCCTGAGCTTTCAGTAAGCGCGAGGGCCGAATTTAGACTTATCTGGAGGACCGAAGAGTCCTAGTCCAAAAGCTAAACGTCACAAGGTGTGCCTTGTTTTGTTGTAATTCCAATTTTGACATAGCATCAGCGCTTGAAATGCTGCAAGATTGGAAGGCAGTTCCTTTTAAGCAGACATGTTGTGCATGGGTGAGAAAACATCCGCTATCTGTTCCCGAGTGGCTGCCAGCGGTGTTCGACCCGGTGAAGTAGGAGAGGCCTTGCAGACTAGTATCAAAAAGACGAACTTACTGCAGATAAAGAATCCAAAGATCAAGGGAGGTTTTCGACCACCCCCGTGTTGTCACATTCGACAGTGAGCTCAACTAGCAGTGGAAGACAGTTCGTAACCTACTAGAGTCCTGCCGTTCAAAAATGCTCAAAGTGACGCCAGTAAGGGATTCACTATTGGCATCTTCAGATGCTAGATGTGTATTTCCCATCCATAGTATTGGAGACAGGCACATACAGCGAAGACAGAGCTTGCGAGCAAGTGTCGCTTGTAGTACAGCATCAAATTAGCAGGTGTACCGTGACGGTCACTGAATAAATGTGAGCCCGGGCTTACCTCAAGATCATCAGTCCCGTTCTACGTGCTCAATATCTTTAAGTCCTGTAGTATGACTCAATCGGCTCGTTTTTCGAAGGGATCCACAAGACCGACGTATCGATATATAAATATTGATGAACTTCGCAGGAGCGAGGATATACTTGAAATTTATATTTTGCGCGCGTACGACATGTTTGGGAGCTGTGGTATTCAATGTTCATTACGTCACGATGACTAGCTATGATGACGTAGCCTCGAGAAATATTTGTGGGGTTCATTAAATAATATTGCAATATCGAATTTAGGTCGCATATGTTGTAAGCTGAGATAAAACAAAACTACCCCGGAGCACGCGGAGTAGTAAGTCACGAATTCTAATAAAATTCTAAGTACACAGGTTTTCAATGAATAATTTGCAATTGCAGATATTGATCGGACTTTGAAATGAGGCACGGCAAATCGAACCACGATTGTCCCAGATCGTGAAAGTTGTTGTGTTACTACCATTAGGTTTACAACCTTGGCGGATCAAAGAGGACCGATCATCATTAGAAGCTGTTATCCTGTTCCCATAATCCAGATAGGCTCATTGCATTGCTGGGATCGATCGATCAGCCTTGATCCGTGCGTCATAGCATAGTCCCGGTCTCTCTTGTGGGCACGTTCAGGACAAGGAGCCTTGCTATGTTCGTGGAATCGTAGCATTAATGTATGGAGTGCACCTCGATCGTATACACGGTAATAGGTATGCTGCTCGTTTGATACTGTTGTGAGGATACTGGCTCACAATCAACCCACAGTAGCTTCATTGAGATGCAGCAGGCTTAATACTTTGTTGATCTAACGTCAAGAATCGTAAAGGTGGCATACTTGTGATAATATGGAGTAGTTGAAAAGTGACCGGTGGCATATGAATGGCGCATCAGGAATAAACTAAATCGGCGGTAAGCGATCTGTACTCGTGGTCCCGTTCTCTACGGGTCACTGATAACTAAAACAAAGAGCACGTACCAAGGCAATTCCTGCACAGGCCATCATTATATGAGCTGCGTTGGGAATTTCGAACGCGGAGGCATAGCTACCGGCGATCATTGGTAGATTTGGACTTATGCAAGCTGATAGTATGAATCACGGCATCACTTGGCTCGATGATGACCATGTTTATTTTTCCAAATCGAAATTGACAAAGGCACGCAGCCTTGATATTTCTGACACCCGTGAGCAGACTGATGGCGTGTCTAAGTAGCAACTGGGCTCTTGTCCTCAATCTGATCCCTGTGCATTGTAGCAGGAGGGCGCACAGACATCCCGTCAACGTGGAGTATGACACGATTAGTCGAGAGCATGATATTCTCTTGGGGAGTCCCGCACAATATTGTCGCAGGAGACTTTCCTGATGAACAACAATGGATAACGTTGAACAGTCCGCACCCGTGGAGACAGTAATAGATAAATAGTCTGCACAGAACCCAGACAGAACACTCAAACACACCCAACACACTTTCAAGATGTCCTCCAACACAAACTACCCAGAGACGCAGCAGAGCAAGGCAGACTTGCAGCGCATTTACAGAGAGAAGGAGGCAGAGGGATTCACGGAGCTTCAGCAGGCAATTCGTGAAGTGACAGATGGGAAGGTTGACCCGGCGAAGCGATATGAAACACTGACGAAAGGCATGACAGTCTATTCTGTTGATATTCAATTACCTAACCCACACTCCAGCCGCACAGAAAATTAGAGAGCTCAGTTGTCAGAATAAAGAGATGCGCAGACAGCTCAACACAGCACCTAATTCGTCGTGGGGAGCGCAAGGTGCACTATCTGGCTGTTAGACTCGCTCTAATGCTAAACGGTACACAGGTGGTCAGACCCACGGGGTATGGCCGGGGGGAACTACCACTAGTCCCTATCCCCCTGTATCTGGTTACGGTGCTCTGGGGAATAACTTCAGCACTACGCAGTATCCCACTCAATATTACCCGGACAATGCTGCGCTGTCAAACCCGAACTTCTTGCGAGGATATCCCGGACAAGGCAGGGGCGTTTAAGCGACCGCGATACATCAGTATCACGTGGCGAGAGCAAGATGGAATAACATATGTCTCATTATTGATTATACACTAGTCCCCATTAATTCTTGTGCTTTTTGGAAATGGTTGAATTACTTCCTTTTGAACCCACAAGAATGCCATTAAGGATCTTCTTGGATGATGGAACAGTTAAGTCCACACATTCCTAAGACAGCTCGCCAAGTTTGCCTCCGTCTTCCAAGTGAAATTGCCATACATCTGATTTACCACCAATATGGAGGCCAAGTGTGACATTGAAATCATACTACTATCATCTCAGTCGATAACAACTCGCTTGATCACCACTAGTATCGACTAGCATAATAACAGTGATCCTACGAAGGCATTGAAATAAGGCTGTGGAGTGTTGGTATTATTATATTTGGACATTTCATTGTGGCGAACATTGATGAACTCGGACAAGATGGCCTGTCTAAGAGCAATCTTACGTATGATATTCACAACTGTGTTATCAGTGACAGATGGCAGAAGTTAAAATGCGATATGTTATTGAACCCGCTCCCCTTGGGTATCGGATGCGTTGAACGAATACCACTCGTGGGTCCATTGTATTGCGGGAAGGTTCGGAAGGGTTGCTGAGCTATAGGAATGCATGCGTGGACCAAGGTTGAACGTTCAGCGCTAGCGCTAGCGCTCAGCTTTACTGGTTAAACCCCTGCAGTGGACTCGGAGAATATACATTACGCCGAGAAGGATCACTATGCGCATAGCCTCGTGGTAATTCGAGGCAGCCCATTGCTAGGGACCTAGTGAAATTAGGTTAAGATCGACATGTTCCTGATCACTTTCGGACCCGATATCTTCGGATGAAGTTTGCTGAAATCCAGGAGGGCACTGCTTGATTTATTTTGCAGAGTATCGAGGAGAGACTATATGTTAGCCTACTGTGACATTAGAAGCATCGAGGCGGAGAGAAGCGTTCAGATGACAAACTGAATAACAAACCAACCACCACCGTCGAGGCACCCAACACACACCACACCCCTGCACTGGGCATGGTCATCCCTGAATTGAGCACAGCCCTGTGCTCCATGAGCGACCTTGATACGAGGATCGATTCGGAACAATGAAAACAATGCAACCATGTGGCATTCAGGCTAAATTAATGAGGTCGAGGAGTCCGACGTACGACCGATGTCATCAATGTGACATTCCACAGCCACGAGCGTCTTGGTGTCCTAATTGTAACTTGTGCTCGCACCTCGTCGCGACATATCCGAAGACGAGGCAAAAAAATTCTCAGTGCTGTGTTTGTCACGTTCACGCAGAAGAAAGGTAGCGAGGGCAATGTGTTGAGTATTTAAGATGTTTTACCTGTAACTCACTACGATGCACTCCTCCGTCAAGAAAGCGCACCGCCAATCCTTGTTCTCTCCAAATTCAGAAACTTTTGACATGATGCAAGACGATACCACAGAGCGTTCATACAAGCAGACCAAGTCCACACAGCAAAAGCAATACAGAGACAGGGAGGTCGACAGCTTTGCCAACCTTCGCGAAGCCATTCGCGAAATGACAGATGATCAGGAACCCCCCAGAACCAAATACGAGACACTGTCGAAGGTAAGCATATTAGAGTAAAAAATTGAGCCACAGGAGAATTCAACGCGTGGCTAGCTGCACAATATATCAGGCAACTTAACCTGATAAATCAGAAGCTGCAACAGCAACTTCATACGCTGAAACCATCTCGAATGGACGACGAGGGCTGTATGATGAAACAAAGTAGGGGTCAGTTTTTGCAGATCTGGTCGCAATTGTCTCATAGACAGATCCTACAGCGCATGTACCTGCCATGTCCTTGCACCGGAACGGTGATGTCAAGTCGGTTGGCACACACTGGACGACGCATATCGTATCGCAAAGCTCACTGCACAATTTTTACATCGGCATGGACTCTGGAGTGTACGATGCTGCCATGCTGGAGGGTGCGCAGGACCAGACGAGGATAGTCTCAGGATCTAGTAGCAACTTGAGTCAGATCGACCAGTATACGTCCCTTGGACACCCCTTGAACCAGTCTCGCATCTCCTATGATGGATATTCATACTAGAAACAGAAGTATGTGTACAATAGAACTCACCAAGTTTTCTATAGTGACGGCACGGTGGTACTGATAATGGATGTGTGGTTATAACTGGTGCACTTGCTACTGCGTGAAATGCATTCAATGGGTATTTCAAATGGCGATATCATACATGCATCCATGCGCTTTAAAGTAATTGGGACGCACTGTATGCTCGGCTCGGAAAATGCACCTGTACCCGGTATCGGTAGTACTCGAAGACCGAGGTCCGAACGCTTGTAACTTGGTCCGGGCTGCGGGGAAGTTGAGTTCAAACTTCACGGAAGTTTCTCACATGCGGAGTTGAAAAAAGCGCCGCTGGGGGTTCTAGGGACTGGAGAAATCCGACGGAGGTACCAAGTTTAAGATAGGTTAGAAGTTTCGAGTATACATATATGGGATGGGCTGGTCGAACTCAGTCTCTTTAGTGTTCGTGCCCACATTAATTAATATTGGTAGATGTAGCGAGCGCTCGAAGATTTTCTTCGATCATGGCTTCGCGATCAGTCAGATCGATGATAGAGCGTTTCTCTGACCGATAAGACTAGCGAGACGGGCCGGCGGCAAGTCCTACCTCTATAGGGTTAAACGAACGCGTCAGTACTTTTCCGCATCGGCGATTCAGTCACTGTTATCAGTCGGATCTTACTTGGTTCTTACTCGGCTCCTTCGAACAACCTGAGCCAACAAAATCCGGACATCTTCACGGCATTCGCAATGAAGAGACTCCCTAGACTCTACATGTTCGCTTCAGCGTAATGTTGTAAGCATCGCGGAGTGGTGAGATATATTCCGCGTACCCCCGCCACTTGCAAGCTTGCTCCTCCTTTTGTATTTGTTTCCTTCGTCGATGAGTCTCTCCATCATTACTATTTTTCACTCATACTCGTTGCTGACGTCACGATGTGCACTGTAACCGTATAGCCCATGTTTAACATATATAATCTATTCTTTTAAAAGTGGATAATCTTACCTGTACAGTATACTGCGACCACTCCAGTATTCTAGAGTCTAGTCCAATAAGGCTAAGTCGCTGTTGAAAAAATGAATGACGTGAATATGGTAGTATTAGGTTCAAGTTACTAGATGCGGCTGCCGGCGGATGCTCGCAGCGAGCGGCCCGCATCTCAACCTGCTCAGAGTTGAATGTTATGTAGATTCGTTCAGCATTTTTGATAAAGCTAATATATAAGTTAGCATGTCGAAAGACGTGATGAGAAGATCGAACCGACAAAGTTGAAGTAGTAGAGGAGTGAGAAGCATGCGAGTAGCGGGGATTACCACTCCTCTGCTGCAAATATTTAGCTGAAGCGAACATGTCTGAGAGTTTCTTCATCGTGAATGCCGCGAGGTGTCCGGACTTTGTTAGTTCAGGTTGTTCGAAGGAACCGAGTAAGATCCGACTGATGAATCGATGACAGGTACCATGTAATCATTGATTTACGTGAACTACTTTTGGTAAGAGTGCTTAGAAACGGTATATGCATTCGAATTCTCAAGTTGAGAATAATGATCGAGTAAGCACCTAGCAGATAGGGTCAGAAGACAAGAGGCTGCCAAAAGGACTCGCGCGTTCGCCAATTAATTGTTCAAACTGCACACTGGCTAAATGGAAAAACCCGAGAGACACACTTCCCGCTTAGTCCGTCCTTGGAGATCACAAACTTGTGAGTGGTGTTGGTGGCGTCGAACTAAGGCTTATGATACACAACCTGCCCGGAGTCGGAGAATCTACATGTGATTCACTCTGTAAGTCGACCCCCAACAGATAATAACTAACTATCGCGGGTACAAGTCGATGTAAACTATATTCCTAAACGTATTCACTATGATTATAATATTGGCGACCCGGGCTCCAATGAGGATTTACCTGGCTGATGATCTGATCATACGCAGGAGTGGTACCCATGTTCCCCGATAACATGTTGGCATCGTATAGTTCATAGCCTGTACCACTGGTGACATGGCATGAATACGATTCAGTTGGCGGTATGCCTGCGAGCTCACAGGAGCCGTTTGGTTGCTCGATGAAATATTCATAGAGTGGCGGGGAATATGGGCCCTGCGTACAAGGACCTGCCAGGTGTCAATGACGTGCAGATTGACTGGACGGAACACCCTTACTACTGATTGTTGTCGGGACCCCTCCCGCATAACTTGGTGGCATTTCAGAGCCGGTGTGACGGGAATTATAAAGTTGGTGTTGCAACTTCGTGTTCGACGTAGAAAGCTCCTTAATCAGCCGTGCAGCTGAACAAACCAGACTGTCAGCTAGTTATGTGTTTTCATTCACTATATATTCGCACCTTTTCGTAGAACATCTTGTCTCGTCTTCGGGTCAATTGCTCCTCCAGTAGCATGACGAATCTCCTTCCGCACCAAGGAAAATCCATCGAGCTCCTTGCTCCTGTACTGTTTCTGCAAAACCGACTTATTTTGCTTTGGCATTGCTTCAACGAGGTATTCAAGTGGTGGAATCGGAGCGGCTGATACGAAACAAGATAGCACAGTGGGCATGGATCCGGTGCTTTCCCTTGTCCTCTTATATCCCGACCACGCTTTTGCCATCCGCTAGGCGCCAGCGGCGGCCCTGAAGGTTAGTTTCCCCTAGTTAAACCAAAAGAGAAGGAAGACAGTCGTTCATTCTTGTCAAAGGCAGGACTTACGTCCAGCTCCTAACTTAGCGGGATAATAGAACCCTAAAAAGCCATCGATATGGTTGGTGGAAATTATTTAGCGCTTAATCAAGTCGCCGCGAGCTTAGGTGGCAAATGCCATGGCCTTACTTCCGTTATAGAAGCGATAATTGAAAGGGAAGTTCCTTATTTTTGGAGACCATCGAATCAGTGCGTGTGAGTGCGTGTGGTTGGACAGTTGCTGAGCTGATGATGATTGCAGGAAGAGTGTTTGCCTGACGCTCATGTGTCACATAACCAGTGCATGAGTCAGCCTGACCATGCGCCTAAAGCGCTCTAGTAGGGCACCTTGCACCTTGTGGTGAGGAACAGATACCGTACTTATTGCTTCCTTCTGGATCGAGTTTGCTAACAGTACTTTATACTTGGAATAATGCCGATAAACTGGTCTTGTACCACTGTCACACTATCCAATGCTGTATGATGTCATCATAATCTCCGTACATCCCGCTCATGAAGGTTATCTCCAGCCTATACACCCTGTCAAGGTCTACGAGTGTCAATACAGCAAGAGCTCGAATAGCAGGACTCAAAAGGGCAGCGGTACTGGTACGCACTCGTTGAAGACATGCCGCGGTGCATCTGAGATTGCTCGCATCATTACAAGGCCCGGGGATGCTTCTAGCCAGTCGAGTTCTTCGAACGAAGTGGGACTCCACATTCAAGCCACCTTAGTTCACGCACCATTACGATATGTAGCGCATGGGCATCAGTGAATTCGTGAGTGTTAGATGTTGTAGCTGTGGGAACATACAATTATGCTTCTGCTAGGTAAGATGGCTTGGGACTTCGTATTAGCGCTTGACCCCTGCCTTACAGTGCCCTACGATACCCACGATTACTCCCGAGGTTAATGGCCGCTGGGCGGCCGGGGGTGATGTCAAGACCCTGGGTTGGAAGCAGACATTGCAACTTGCGGCAAGCCAAACTCGGATTACATCAGAATGGAAGTTAGCGCAGGTGAGAGGTTTCCCAGTCAATGTTCGGTCAAGCTAGCGTTTGTCTAGCTTGCTGTAAAGCTATTTGCGCTTTCCTGGGAGGTCGGACTTCCAGTGAAACTTTCTCTCAAAATAGGAATCAGCAGAGTTAGCGCGTCAGCAAGCGCGTGGCAATTTTTTTTCTTGATCTGACGGTCGAAAGCTGTTGTCGATTCTTCGAGTAGTCTTGAATCGTTGATCAACCAGTTTTCCGGGATCTTCCTGGCATCGTCGGATCAGGGACAGCATCTCCGTGGTACAAGGCCGTATGTCAAGTTTCAAGTCTAGCGCCAATCTGGCGCGTGTATTTAAACTTTGTTTGAAGAGGAAAGTCTAGTTATACTGTGACTGTAAAGAGTACTAGATAGTGCTGGAAGGATCTGTCGCCAGACATCGCGACATCATTTAGAGATGTCGGAATCGTTGTCAATGGTGGATTCCACGCGCCAACCGAGTATTGGTGTCTTTCATCTACATGGTCATTGTCCCATTGTCAGTCGGTCAATGGGTGTCAGACTGGGCATAATACTAGGTTAATGGTCTTGTGCTATATCTCGTAAGTGAAGAAAGCTCACCCAGATGAAGGCCGCTGTGGTGCTGTGACCTGGCTCCAGATGAAGTTCCTGCAGCATGGTGTTGTGGCGATAAAGGGATTTTATCATTTCTATAGCTGCAGTGAAAATTTTAATGACGTCGCAATCAGGGGCTAGTTGGCACAATCGGGTTACCTTGAACAATCGTCTCAAGTCGGGTCTGATGGGTATCTGCGTCTCGAGATATGTCACGAAGTAATTTTTGGAGTTGCGCCAGTGCATGCGCTTCCTGTATTGCCGTTGCAACATGGCCTTGTCCTGGGCTGAGGTTGCACGTTCCAAGTCTGTGGAATGCGATTGAGGATGATGAGATGAGTGCATGACGGTAGACATTTCAATGATTCGTAGGATACGTTCACCAAAGGATTAAATACTTGTCATCCTGCGACGGACGAGTACAGGGAGCGCGTGGGGTTCTCTTGACAGACCCTTAAAATTAGAGCAATACGACTTGTACTTCAGACTCGGAACGCTAAAACAACGTTGAATTGCTACTTGCGCACTCGCCGTGGCAATTTTGCAATAGAAATTGTGGGTCATAGACCATCGAGGACATCACTTGTGATGATCACGATGATCATCCATGATAGGAAATGACGGAACCACATGGGATGAGCCTTTAAGTCGGGCACGATTCACGTTTGTCCAAGCTTATTTCTGAGATACGCGATTTTGGTGCGCCACCAGGGACAGCATATTACGGGCACACAGCCATAGTAATGTGAGTCGCCCGGAGACAGCTGTGTATACTGCTTGAACTTTGGGTAGTGCTGGAAAGGTTAACCTTCGTAAGGAAGAAACCGCTGACAAGCCGCTGTTGCGGTTCGGAAGGGTCACCCTGGCGTTTTTTTTCGCCAATCACAGCAACTGACTTGCTGTTGTCGCCATTGCATAGAGAATATAGTACTTGAAAGGTCGTTGTCTGAAAATTTTGAGCTGAACAGTTGCTCATGGTTGGCATAAAATAAGTGCTCCGAGTAGTGTTGTGGGCAGAAGTCTGCCATTCTGCCAGCTGGTTTGGCAGAACCGGTTCTGCCTCCGTGAGAATCATACTTTTTGGCCCGACTCGGAGGCTTTGAGTCGGGCCAAACAGTATGATTCTCACGGAGTAAACTCATCTCTACTTACGTACCCCCGCAAAATATTCATGGACATCCACAACACTTCTCTAAAATTCTGGGAGCTCGATATTATGATAGCCAAGGTCATTTTCTCTCATTCCACGCAGATTTTTAATTAAAATACTTTGATGTAATGTTGGAAATCAGAGGCACAGTACATCATCTATAGTAAATATATGGTAAATATTGGATACTAGTCACGTGATCTGGCGACGTGTCTACCAGGCAGGGGATCAGCGACTTGAGTATACTTTGCGATTTAGCACTAGTGTTTTTGGTTTACTGACTGCGTAGGCTTGTAGGGGTCAGCAGTAATGTGTTCCAGCGCACTTGTTGTCCTTGGATGCGCGCTGCTTGCTTTCAGCGCGTCTCCCCCAGTCGGTGTGTCCTTGCGTTCCTCTTTCAATGCTGCAGATCCATTACTTGAGGCGCTGTAAGTTCGAACTATGTACTTGACCCTCTCGTGCAACTAATATCACATATAACTTACCAGGGAAACCCTGGCCCTTTCCTCTCCCGAGCACCTGTTTTCACTCCTTAATCATTTCCCCCTCCCACTGAAACCCGCAACACCGGAAGAATCGCATAACGCCGTCTTAGATCTTGCAAAAAATTACCTTCTGCCTCCGGAGATAGCTGCCGTAAATGTTGGGCTAGCTTTGCATGCTGCAAGTCCGAAGCTTGCTGCACAGCACATACATGAAAGTGGAAGGGAAGGGTGCGAGGATTGGGTAGATTGGTATGGAAGTATTGCATGCAATGCGGAAGAACTCAGGCGCCTCGTCGAAATTTCAGTTGCAGCCTCGGATTCCGAGTCCCAACCAAAAATGAAGCGCCTCCAAACAGATCATACGCCACCTCTTCGGCCATCACTTGACGCCCCCAGGTGGACAGCAATACACTACGCTGATCCTATGGTACCTGAGTTCAACTCACTACATGGCGCACTACTCTCTTTGAGTCTTGATGTGGAATACGTGCTACGCTGGGCTCGGCCTGTTATTGCAACAGATGGACCGTACTTGTCCGGATTCGGCGTCGCACTGGATTTGAAGAAGACGGATTACCTCGCTGTGGATGACCGGAAGCGGGCTTCTTCCACCTCTCGTAATGATCCCTCTGGCGAGAGTCAGGAAGGGAATGAAAATGATGTGCTGAGCTGTATTTTCGAGGCCATGTCGTACGTTGATACCGAAATGGAGAAGAATGCTGCCACAAATAATCCCTTGAGTATAGAGGAGATTCAAGGTAGCTTGACTTTTATCATTGTTATATTACTCAGTGCTCATCTCGCGTGGCATAGACCTTGGCCTTAAAGCAACATCTTTCCTTGCTCTCCTTTCTGACCCCGCTTCGTTTCCCTCAGCCATCTCTTCATGCTTATTGGGAGATTCACTCGCTCCGCTGCATGTATTGCACACGTTGTCTGCGAATTTTCCGCGCTATGCTGCTCCACTTGCGCGTAAAGTCCGCGTGCCCGACACAGTACGAGACGAGGTGCAAGATAACTGGGAGAAGGCGATGATGGGCGTGAACATGGTGTGGGTCAATGGCAGGGTGCTAGAGGGTGAAGCTGGGATTTTTGGGTGCGTTTTCTGTCTTTACCATTCTTCCTTATTTGTACTTTCGTTGCGCCTCCTGTGCTACATTCTGAGGTTTGTTTGGTTCTTATCCAAGTTTAGGCTTCTACGCAACTTTGCGCGCGAACGCGCTCTTATTCGCTCACTCGTCAAGCTTGGTTTGTCGCGGTCTCAGGCCATAGAGTTTGTCGTGCACCCAGTGCATTCAGGTCCGTTCGATCCACCTCCATCGAAATTGGAAGTCAAGAAAGGCACAACATTCGGTTCAGCGAAACGCTTTGCTGAAGAAGCTCTACGTACAGATACCGAGAACAACGCTGAGGCCGAGGCCTCGAATGAAGGACAGAGGGGGTATGATATTCTTCCAAAGTGGAACGATCTCTTAGATGGCCTCGTCGACTCTTCAGATAGGCCAGAAGGGGGCGGCGTTATATTGTGGCGGAATGATATCGAGGAGGACACGAGATATGCTCAGTGGGGGACGGACTTAACACAGGTGGGTGCATATACGCACTGTCGTGGATCCTTTGATTGAGACATGCTAACTTGTTTGGTTTGTGTTACATGCATAGCTTCTCCGCACGCATCCGACTCAACTTTTCAGTGCTTACTTGCGTTTGCGGGTCAACATCATTAATGTCGTCCTCGCCCTTGACTTTTCGCAACCGAGGTTCTTTTCTCTCATAGCAAACCAAGTGGATACCATCGTCGCTCGTGGATTTCCTGTCAGGTGGGGATTTGTTCCAGTTTTTGCCGGCGACGGGGACGGTGCGTGAGGAGACTATTTTTTTCTTAACAATAATACTTATCGTCATACTTGGATAGGCCTTAAGATGGCGAGAATTATATACTATGTTGCACAGAAATTCAGTCGTCCAGAAGTGGCTTCGTTTTTCCGCTCTGTATGTCCATCACTTTGACTTTGTTCTA